CACTCACTGTGCTGTTGCATCCAGTTCTCCGCCCGAGGAGGGACCTGGGACTGCACAGCCTCTATGCTTTATCTCAATGAGAATCCCCAAACTCTGCAACTGTCTGAAGACTAATTAAACCAAATAACAGTGGAATTTTGCCTCTGGTTCAAACAACATGCATTATTCACAAACACACAGAATTGTGTTAAAGTGTCCAGTGTGAGAGAGCACTGGTTCACACACGCTTTGTCCTGCTTCCCTCTGTGTTACTTAATGCACCCTCCTCCATAAGCCATTTGCACTGAGTCCTTCTTCATCACCTCCTGCGCGTTCCAACAGAGCTTAGGCTGCAGGGAACTCCACTGCGGAATGGCCAGGGGGGCGACTGTGCTCCGTCAGAAACATATAAATACGTATCCCCTTAAGACAGTACTTATTTTTATTGGAGCTTTCCTCTTAATTACAATATGCCGTAATTCTTCTTGTGAACTCTCAAATTGATATACAACAGTAACATATTACATGTGTGTAATATGTTACATAGGTAACAAATGTTAACAGTTACATATCAACAGGAACAAATATAAATTTGTGCAGCCTGAGCTACGTACTTTAATCATATGCCATCATTTCCGTATCATGGAGGAGGAAAAAGATCAAATGATTAAACTCCAGCGCCTGAGTACCTATCTTGAATTAAACTTTACACTCTGCCTCAGTTAGGCTTCCTACAGCGATATCAAGAATGGTTGCAAGGTAAAGCATTCACTCTTCTATGGTAACTCCATGCCCCAAAGTGCTTATCAAAGCTCAAACCGCTATTTTTTTTTCCCTACAAGTTGTAAATGTCTTGCAGATGTCTTCAAAACCTCTTGAAAGAACTGGCAGTCATATCACTGCAATGTCATTAATATTTTTGTTTATTCACTCTGTTCACTTTGGAGTCAGAGTGAGGCTCTTTCTGCCAGAAAAAAGAAAATCCAGAAAATCGTCCCAGATCACGTTTATCCTGCAGTCCAGCCCCCACGGGGGGCTAATCTGAAGTTACAAGATTTCCTAACTTTCTAGTAAATTCCGAGGTAGGCAGAAGAGACGGAAGGTAACGGCATCTCCCCACTAGAAGGATGCTAATCCTGACAAACTGCTCAAGTAGTAGCCTGAACCACAGCTAGATTGAATTCGTTTTCTCCTGAGAGGACCAGACAAGGCTGATGGTAACAAAACCGCTTTTCACGGCGCCCTCAAAAGCAGATGGGCCCCATGCACAAAGTTGGAGAAGGGCGCCATTGCCCTCTAGTGGCCACAAATGCGATCTTCCGCGAAGGAGTCCATTTCCAGAGACGCACAAAGCTTTCAATGTCAGGGTAAAATTATAGCAGAGAGATGTCTAATTCCCCTCCTGGCGTGTCTGCTTGAGTCCTTCCTGCTCGGAGAGGAGGCCGCGGACGGCTATCGCTGTAATCCTGAAGGAACAGCTTCCCGATGTTCCCGCTCGGGCGTCAGAGTAGGCCCAACTTCCTAGAGCGTTAGCATCTTTCTTCTTTTTTAAGAGACTGGTTGATGTTTCTTCTTTAATCAAGGAAATCACACATTTATATGGACCAAAAATATATACCGTGTGTGTGACGAATCCTTTGAATCAGAAAAGCTGACAACTCCCAATTCTTGGAAAATACAGAATGAAGGTTCTTGATAGACTAAGTAAATTTTGTGAAACCACAACCAGTTTTATGAGGGGGGGGGGGGGTCGTCTCAAACACATTTTAATCCCTTGAATCATTGGCTAGTGAATTTATCTAGTGCTCACATTTGCTAAAAAGGAAAAAAAAAAGTCGAGAATTTGTAGTCACCCTGCAAATTCGACGATTGAAGAAGAAATGTTTGCTGCCTACTTTTAAACTCCATAGGCCACTGTTTTACTATCATTAATTAATACGAGGTATGCCTATGAGCAAAGTGAGAAGGATCAATATTTGAAAATAAACCCAAATGAAATCATTATTATTGCTGACCATCTACCTACGGTAGTGTATTGAGAACGGAGGAAGACGAGATCTTGTTTAGACGGTTTTGAAAACATAGATTTAAATATAACAGATCAAAGTTTACACCAACTGTCAACTTCATAAGTCACAGGCCTCCACAGGCAAGGCTCCAAGACCCACTACGCTCCTGGGAGTGTAGCTGTGGCGTGATAAATCAGGCCTTGAGGTCACAGCCATGGCGTTTCCCATATGAGGTCCCCAAACCAGAGTCTTTACAAAGCAGCCATGTAATTCTATTCAAAGTAGAAGAAAAACCATGAGTTATGAAGACAAGTGCAATAAAAGAGCATGAAATTGATCCGTATTCCCCCAAATCACGACATGGTTCTCCCCCTCTGCCCTCCCCCCAAAATAAACACACACACCCACAGCCATCACCCGGGAAGGAAATATGCGTTCTGGGTCCAAAAAAAAAGAGCTGTAACTTTTAAAAAATTCTCAAATTAACAAAAGATTGCATCTTAATTGAAAGTAGAATTTAGGCTTCTAGCAATTTTACCGTCTGGTGTTCTGATAAGGATGCTGAACATAACGGGGACTCTGCAGTGTTATCAAGATGGTCCAGCACTTCAATTAGAACTGGTTTAAAAGCCTATTTTTCTAATACGCAATAAACCCAGTTTGAATACATCTATATGTCTGGGCCTCACCAGACTTTCCCATTTCAATCCTTCCCATGCATTTTTCTTCCTCCTAGAGGTGGGGAAGCCAGCTGCTTCTTCTTCTTCTTTTCTTTAATGTTCTAAAGTGATGTCTATGCAGACTACAATATCAACTGAAATAATCACAGTCATAATTATAATAAATGAAAAGCCGTTCCGTGTATTCACATGATGGTCTCGAAAGCAAGGTGGGAAGCTAACGACCACTGCAGCAAAGTTTCCTGGCCTCCCAGAGGCCGTGCCCTGGTCTCTACTGAGAGCTACTCACATTCCTTTGTACAGGAAGGAGTTCGGGTCTGAACTGAAGCTCCCTTCCAGGGCCCAGTGGCCAACTCTGAAACTTGGATGCGGAGCCTGTGTTTTAGGGACTGGGGTTTCGGAGCCCCTCTGGTAGTGGCCACAAGTCCGTCCCTTTGTTGTATAACTTTTATTCCTTTGTGCTACGGGAAGAAGACCAGGCTTCCCGCAGCTGGGGTTGGGCCCCTTCAGTGTCCCGGCGTCTGCGCCTCCGCACTCCTAGGAAAAACCGTTCCAGGATTCCTGAAGATCGGCCGTCTTCAGACTCCAGCGCTCAGCGGCCAGCCTCGTGGCTGTGCTGATGGGATGCTGGGGAATCCTCGCTCCTGAGAACACTTCTGCAAGCCCACCCCCGGGCACCCCGCGAAACCCTGCGCGCCTGGGGCAAGCCCCAGCGATCAGCAAAGGGATCCATCCTGTCGCCGGCTTAAGCATCGTGCTTTTCCCGGGATTAGACCGAAAACTCACTCAGTGCGTCCTCTGAAGAGGCTAGGGATGACTGGGAGAGGAGAGCAGGGACAGACTGCAGAGCCATCGGACGAGATTTCTTTAGGGAAAAGAGGAGGGGCAGACTCTGGGTCCAATCCACCCCCTCAGGCGGCAGGGCTGCTGCCACGACCCCCTCATTCCCACCCCGCGGCGACGGCATTATTAAATAATTAAAAGATGCGAAGCTTTCGTAGCGGCGCGGTGGCCCGTGAAATTCCTGCTGCATTATCAGCAAAAGCAACAGGGTTTCTTCTCGCATCCAGAAAACCTTTCACCCGGGAGAGGCAGGCGTCCCGAGCCCCGGCTGGAAAGCAGGGCCTTGGCGACAACGGGCTGAGCTGCGCCGCGCGGGCCTCCAGGACCCCACTTTTCTCTGGGGATTCCTGGCTCCCAGGGTGAGGCCGTGCTTCCCCCCCACCACCCCCGATCCCGCCCGCTTCTCGGCTCCCCGCACCTCCCGCGGACTCCTAGTCCCTGGCAAGGCTCCGGGAGCGGGGCCGTGCGCGCCGGGGCTGGAGAGGCTCGGCGCGCTCCGAGCGCAGGCGCGGGCTCCGGGGACGGTTTGGCTCACAAAGTTGACGGTGGCCCCGGCGGGCTCCGCCGAGCGCAGGCCGGAGCCGAGCCGAGAGTGAGCGGCTCGCGGACCTTACCCCACGCTGCCGGGAGCGCAGCTCCGCTAGGAAAGTGCGCGAACTCGCCGCTTCACGCTCGGGCCCTTGCTATGGACAGGGCTTTCCCGGCAGTCTCGACCCGAGGCACCGAGCCCCGGGGACGCTCGGCGGGCATCAGCAGGCAGGACCCGGTGGGAACCCCGCACAGCACGGTCCTGTAGCGGCTCTCGGGGAAGCGGCACCGCGCGGACGGGCGGGTACCGCGCGGGAGACGACTTTCCCCAGAGAGAAGACGAGAGGGCAGGCGACGTGTCCAGGACTCGACTGCGCAGCCTGGAGCCCCAGCCGCGTGCAAACCCCCCGTGCCGCGGCCTCGGCGCAGACCCAGAGGAGGCCCGAGCGGCGCTGGCGGCGGAGCGCACATCTGGCGCCTCTGCGCTCTGTTCTGCCCGCGCCCACCGCTGGCTCCCTGCTCCCTCCCCGTGTTCCCAACAAATCTTCTCTCGGCCCCCCAGCCCTTTGGGCTGCGCACTGGGGGGAATCCCTTTGGAGTCAGACACCAGAGCCCCCACCCCACCTCCCCCGCGCCAAGACATTCTCCTCCAGAGAAGAGCCTGCTCCCCACTCCGGGAAGCCCCATCCAGGCAAGAAGGGACCCGCGGCGCGTCTCACCTGGGGCCCTCGCGGGTGGACGAGACCTCCGGGCCGTCGGTCCCTGGCGCAGGGCGCGCGCACCGGTGTCAGCCCCGGCCCCAGTCCCGGTCCCATTCACAAGTCGGCGGCGGCTGCTGCGAGCGGCCCCCGCGGCATCTGCTCCTCGGCCCGCGACGCTCCCCTCAGCTGGCGGCGGCCGCGGAATGAGCCGCCGAGCGCGCTAGTGGCAGGAATGAGAAACCGGGGGGAGGTGGCGGGCGGGCGGTGGGGGGAGGAGGGAGGCCGCCGCTGGGAGGGGAGGGGAGGGCGGGGGGCGGAGAGGAGCCGCGGCTGCGAGACGCGCCGAGCCGGGCCTGGCCGCGGCTGCGGGGGCCGACCCCGTGCGCGCCCCTCCCCCAGGGGCCACGGAGATGCCACCCTGGGGACCCGCAGCCGCCCCTCCCGCGCCGGGTCGCGGCGCTCCGGCTCCCTTGGGGCTCAGACAGAGTCTGGAGCCGCTGAAGTTGGGCTCTGGGGACGCACAGCCAATCGGGGAGGGCGGTGGGGGAAAGCCGGTGAGGGGCTGGGAGCCCCGGTGTTCCTCGTCTCTCCCAAATCCGCTGCAGCTGGGGAGGCTGGGCCCTCCTCTCCCGGCCCGGCCAGGTCCGCGGGCGGAGGGACGTGGGAGAGGCCCCGGGGAAATGGGCAGCGCGTTCTCTGCTCTCACACCCGATCACCCCACGTCCCGAAACGCTTCCGCGGGGACCGCTTCCGCACCGTCTCCACCCAGCCCCCCAGCCCTTGAAATGGTGCTGGTGGCGCGGGTGCCGGAGGAGCCGGGGACGGCGGCTTCGGACTTGGGAGAGCTCGGTCCCCGCGCTCCTGCAGCTCGCCCCGCCTCTCCCTCAAGCCGGCGCCTCAAAGCGGGCGCGGAAGCAGCTTCGCCTCGGGCCGCCCCGCCAGCCCCCTCCCCAGGGGTGCGTTGGCCGCGGTCCCAGCCACAGGGGCCGGGATCTCTGCAAGTCCGGTCACTTGTTGCCTCCCCCAGCCCCCGCAGACCCGCCGCGGCGCTGTGGAGTGCGCGGTTCCGCTGGAGCGAGGGCCCGCGGGGCGCGGAGCCCGCATCCGTCCGCGGTCCCCCAGCTTCCCCGCTCTCGGAGGAACCCGCTACTGAGAAGGGAGCCCCCCCCACCCCAGCCCGCTTCCGGCCCGCGGAGTCTCTCTGGGCGAAAGGGGTGCCGCGGTCGGGGCTTCCGAGTGGCGCCAGGGACTGGGCGGGGCGCTCGTGGCGCGGGGAGCGGCGCTGGGACCCGCAGACCCCGCGGGGAACACCCGTGCCTGCGAGGGTCCTCGCGGTCGGGATAAGTTTCCGGCTTGGGAGGTGACGGCAAGAGAAGACGCCGAGAGACGGTGAAAAGGCGAAGGAGCCGCAGGCGAGGACGGGGGAAAGGCGGAGAGAGGGACCCGCAAGAGGGCAGGATGCGGAGGGCGTGGAGGGAACGCGGCCCTTAGAGCGCAGCAGGCGGCAAGGGCGTGCGGAGAGGAGCGGGCCCGGGAGTTCGCGGAGGAAGAGGCCTAAGATGGAAGGGAAAGCCTGGGGGCCTGTGCGCTTGAGGAAGGGGCCGGCGAGGGGGCGCGGAGAAGGGCGGCCGGCCCCCGCCCCGCGGCTCCCCGAGCGCGCAGCTCCCCGGGTGTCCACGCCGCAGGGCGAGCCTGCCTCCTGCCCGCACCCCTGCCCCACCGCCCACGCCTCTCCCAGAGACTCGGGATCCCTCTGGCTCCGAGTGTGTCTGCCCTCACCCCGCGCCCACAGGACGCGCCTGTCGCCCTCCGTGCGGACCGGGCCTCGAACTTGCCCATTTCTTCTCTGGGGGAGGAGGGCGCTAAGGTTCCAGCAGCCCTTACTCCCGCACTACGCCGCCGCTGACCACGTCCGAGGTGACAGCCCTCCGGGTCCCCAGCCCCCGCACGTCTGCCACTCAGGCGCTCGGTGCACAGGAGAGCGAGGGGTGGCCGTGCCTGCCGCTTCTGCCTCCTCCTGTGGATCCCTAGCCCTGAGCCCCTTCCACAACTCCGTGTGCTTTTCTGTGGACCTCTTTGGCCCTGTCTCTGAGTCTGCTCTGAGCCCTAAAACTTTGGCCCTCCTGCCTGCCCCATCGCGGAAGGGAGCAGCGATGGTAATGGGGTGCCTGGGTGTAGCCATCTGTACGCAGCAGTGAGGTTTCATCCCAGAGGATGGAAGAGGGGCCACTCCCTCTCAGAGATCTTCCGGGTTTGCTGTTTGGCTCGCTACACACTTGTCTGGATTTTCTTGTCCTTCCCAGGTGAGCATGAAGCCGAGGTCAGTTTAAGGACAAGGGCAAAGATCCCCCGGAAGTGAAGTGGTTAGAAAATCCCTCTATTCGTGAGGAAAGACTCCTTAGCTCCATTCTGGAGGCAAAGCCACGGAGGAACCTGGTCATGTGCGACCTGACATTAGCTGGATTTACCCTCTGTCTTCTGTCCCGATTGCAGGCGGTTAAGACCACTCCTGTCATGAGCAGAACTAGCAGATTTTAAAAAGTAGTTAGAAATCGCTTGGTGGGTTTACACCAAATCAGATGGCATCGTGTGCTACCAGCGGTCAATATTCCTTCGTACAAAGCGGCAAGTCCATGCCTAGCATTACATTAGGGAGAATAGAACATGTGTGCCCACACTAAGACATGTATCTGAACGTTCATAGCAACCTTACTCTCAATGGCTAAAGCCTGGAAACCGTTCAGGTGCCCATCAACTGGTGAATGGACGAACAACTCGGTGTGTTCACACGATGGAGTAATATTCAGCAGGAAAGGAATTCCAAGGCTTGTTACATCAGGAATGATCTTTCAAAGCGTATGCCAAAAGCCAAAATCTGTGTGATTTTATGCTCTGTAATTGCATTTATGAGAAACGTCCAGAAAAGGCAAGTTTGTAGAGAGAGAAGGCAGGTACCTGGTTGCATGGGGATGAGGGTATGAACAAGAATCTGCAAAGAGAGTGAGAGGGAACTTCGTTGTGTGATGAAATTTTCTAAAACTGATAGTGTTGATGGTTGCACAGATCTATGAATTCCCCAACAATCACTGAATTCTAACAAAAAAGACAATGCTTCCCGCTTGCATACCAGAGTATCTGTGAGCTGCAGCTAAGCCTCAAGGGGAAACTTTCTGTAAGGCAGTTTTAGAGAAAGAAAAAAGTAAAAACAGAATTCTAGTTCTCATAGAAAGATAACTCTACTTGTATTCAGCAAGTTCTATTTTGGCGACTTCTTTGGAGAGACTTCTAAGTGTTAAAGCAAGTTAATTTCCCCCTTTCACTCTTCTAAGTGATTAATTCCTAGGAACTAGAGTTAGGCATTCCAGTTCGTGACATTTTAAACACACCTACACAGACACAGTACAAAGTGCACATTTCAGAGGGGTTTTTTTATGACTATGTTAGGATCTGTCTTAGAAATCCATATCAAGAACTTGGGTGTGGTATTGTGCGGTTACAGTTTAGATCTTAAAAGCAAAAAGAAAGAATAGGGAAAAAAATAACCCACTGACAGCTTAAATTGAAAATTCATCTTAGACAGGCAGTCAAAAGTTTGGGTGTTTATCTTAAGTTTCCTCACCTTGCCTTCGCCTCGTTCTTCAAGGGAGGAAGCCAAGGTTCCTGGCTGCTGTGGAGCCAGGATTCAACAGCGCTTATACTTCCTGCCTATCCCAATCCAGACAGAGCCAAGGCTCAGACAGCCCTTTCTTGTCTTTGTCCTTGCCAGCGCAGGCTGATTAATTTCCTGTCGGTTCCTTCATCAAAGTAGGAGGCTCTCATCTCTTTGATGCGCCCCTCTTCAGGCTCAGAAGATAACCAGGCCCTGCTGAGGGATTCCAGTTTCCACTCCGAAGCTCCATGCTCCCCAGGCTTCTCAAAGCTTCCTGCTCTGGAGATATGCTTCCAAAGGTAAAGAGTGAGGCCAGATCCAAGCAGGGTTTCCTCACATTGCAGTGGTCTCCAACTGTGCCTTCCGCAGGCAGAGGGAGAGAATTGAAAAACAAGTCATGAGAACACCACTTCTGAGTCAGACACTTCACAGGGAGAATCCCACCATTGGGTCTGCAGAGGAAAGTGGGCAGACCACACACAGATCGGATTCAGTCTGATTCCTGGCTCTGTCACTTACTAGAAAAGACTTCATCTCCATGAGATGTGGTTTCTGTATCTGGGACATGGGGTCTGTTATCTGTGCCTAGACTGCTGCAGAGATTCCATGTGCCACAAACCTACAGCAGTAAGTACTATGCTTGGATTGTAGTCTCAGTAGGTACAAGGTAGTGACTACAATTATTAATTATGAGATCTGATGATTGTCACACCTTAAATGACCTGAGCTAGAAAGGAGACATGTTACAATTATGAATTGGAATAATTATGGGGATTAATCTTATATTAAGTAAGGGTCATAATAACACATCTGGCCAAGAATTGTATGGCAGTTGAAAATTTACCAACATTGTTGGCCAGCGCCCCAGGTTCTAGTCCCGGTCGGGTCGCTGGATTCTGTCCCGGTTGCTCCTCTTCCAGTTCAGCTCTGTGCTGTGGCCTGGGAAGGCAGTGGAGGATGGCCCAAGTGCTTGGGCCCTGCACCCGCATAGGAGACCAGGAGGAAGCACCTGGCTCCTGGCTTTGGATCGGCTCAGCGTGCCGGCCATAGCGGCCATTTGGGGGATGAACCAGCAGAAAAGGAAGACCTTCCTCTCTGTCTCTCTCTCTCTCACTGTCTAACTCTGCCTTTAAAAAAAAAAAAAAAGAAAAAAAATTTACCGACACTGTAAGACTTGTTTGGGGTTATATAAAATTAGATGTGCCAGCCTTAGGACAGAGGTCTTGTCACAAATTGATTGGATCACTTTGGATTAAGTCCGTTTATCTGAGGCTCAATTGTCTTAGCTATAAATGAGAGCTTACCTAAAGTGAGCTCTGGGGAGGATCCTTCCAGGGCTAAAATTCTAGAGTCAGTGTATTACCCTTCAAAGCATCTTCAAAGATACAATCCCCCTCGCTGCCCCTAGGCTGACTAGAGCAACCACTATCTGATTGTACCCTTCTCAACTCAATGCTATCAGTATTTCCTTGTCTTTCCCCTGTTGTCCGCTGCCCGTTCCCCAGGAACAGTGATGATATTCTGGTTTTGCAAGAGTATTTCACAATGCTCATGGCAGATGGAATTCAAAGATAAGTTTACTTTGGTGAAAAATTTTGAAATCCATGCATAGTTTTTTCATAATATGTATTTTCCATGAACTTTATGAAGGCACCTCATACACATGGGTTTCAGAAGCCTTTCCATCAACATAAATTTCTATTGTGATTATATTTTCCATGGACTTTTTGAAGTATCTTTCTATCTACATCCTCAGCATGTAGCTCAGTGTCTGACATAAAGAAGTCCAATAAATATTTTTGAATGAATTAACAAATACTTCTGAATGAATTAAAATCAGTACCTTGATCAAATATCACAACAGTACTATGTTATGAGTGATCACACCACTCATTGGCTTCAAACAACACTTATTAACTCTAATAGATCTATAAGTTGGCTGGGATTGTCTGGTCCAGACTGGGTTGAGTTGGGGCCACTCATCTGGGCTTCCTGTCTTTCTCGTCCTCCATCCTTGAACAAGTTCTTACGACAATGAAAACCTTCACAGCCCCTTTAGGCTTAGGTTCAGAATTGGAAACTGTGTACTCTACTTATTCCATTGGCCAAAGAATGTCACATGGCCAGGCAGAAAGTTAAGCAATGGAGAAATACAGTATTTTTCATTGGAAAAAAATCTTCAAAAAGAGTTGCATGGCAAACAATATGGGCCCAGGGAAGGATGCTGTGACAGGATCACTAATGTAGCAGTCCCCCACAGACAAAAAGGGGTTTCCATCATCCTCCACTCTGGGCCATGTTGGATTTTTGAGTTCCGTAGGTCACAGATACAATACTCAGGAACATTAGAGACAACACAGAATCAGAATACACTTAGAGTCTCACACAAAATCATTGTCATTGTGCATTTCCTTTACATTGAGGCTCAAGTGGGAAGGAAAAATGCAAGCAGTAATAATAATGTAACAATAAATATCAACAGTTTTTGTTCAGCCTGTTTGATAGTCCAGAAGCATTTACATATAAAGGTAAGAATCCTCAAAATTTCCCTCAAGTATGCATTATTGTCCCTAAGGAAATGATATTCACTGCCCAGTCTAATAAAACTGGTGAGTAGTGGAGCTGGGATTCCACCTGTGGGTATTTTCTCACAAACTGTCCCACTGGCATGCCTTTCAGTGGAAAAGCCCATGCCAATGCTCCAGATGCAACTGTGGGGTACATGGCAGAGGGCATCTATCAGATTCCTAGGAACAGTGCCTGGCACAATGAGCAAACACATTTCATGGAAGGGTAGAAGGTGAGAAGGTAAATGGGAAGGGAGGAAGACAGGGAAGGAAAGGCTATAGAAGCAGGAAGGTAGGGAAGAAAAAAGGAAGGTACAAGGAAGAAAATAAAAGCAATGCTGATCTATTGAAAACCCTTGGCATATTGTGCAGAAACCTGTGCACCCTGAGGGTCATGCATTACCTGCCCCTAATGGTGCTGAGAACATTACCTCCTGCCCATCCCCTTTCCACAGCCTGGAAGGAAAAACGAGCTGGCCCTTGCCTATTTTGCTTCCAATCTCTCCTTAGATCATTCTCTACTTTTTTTTGCTGTTGTTCAAACACAGGTGTGCTCCAGATTCAAGATCTTTGCATATGCTGTTCCCTCTGCCTAGAACACCCTTTCTCTCTTCTTTCTCATGGTTTGTTCCTTTGCTCTGTTTGTCCATCTGCAGAAGCACTCACTCAACACTACAGTCCCCTTCAATCACTTTTTATCTCCTTTGAAGGTTTTACTCTTGTTCATAATGCATATATCTATTAAAATTCTATTAACTCTTTTTATTTGCTTACTTTTATTGATCATCTTATACCACTAGGACACAAGCTTCAGGAGGGAAAAATACCTAATCCCTCTTGTTCACTGATGTATCTTGAGCATCCAACACAGTGCCAGGCATATGGTAGGCACTCAGCAAATATTTGCAGAATGAATACATGAATAGTAAATTCATGAATAATGTTCACTGAATGAATGGACCCTGAACCAACAGCAGATGGGTCTTAACATGGTGCCAGTGCCCTTTATTTGCAAAGTGAATTTGATAGTACCAATTACTCACATTGTACAAAAATCATTCTTTGATTTACTAAAGATTTTATTGGGAAACTACTTAAAACAGTGCTTTTAAAAATAAAATCCAGTTTAAAAAATGATGTCATATCAACAACTTTTCTAACATTTGAATTCCCTAAAATGAAATATACAGGTATTCACAATGACAATTCTGCTTCCAAGTTCTGACTCCAGTTTGTTTGCTGTCTGGACTGGCTGATTAAAACACCTCACAGAAGGCTACTTCAATGTTCGTATGTGCATATATTTACTTTTTTTTTGAAATTTGTGAATAGACACATTTAAATGTGTTTGCTTTCCAGGGGAACCACTGAAAATGTATTCAAGATGTACTGGCTTGCTTTGCAAGTGGTCTACACTTCGGACAACAGGATTTAAGAAAGCTCTGTGCTCCAATTTTCATAACCATTAACTATCAATATTGGGAAAGGGAAGGCAGGAATCATTCTTGACCAATGAGAAACCATTTAAAAGATTTTTCCTTCTTCAAACTCCTCTACAAGGTAAGATAGTTGACCTTGCCCAGAACTGGCTGTGAGAATTTAAGTGCTTTATCTAATTGTTTGTTTCCCTCTCACTGCTCACTAGCCTCTTTGTAACTAAGGGCTAATTGAGGTGTTTCCCTGAAACTCAAGGTAGTTCAAAACCCATTGTATTTTTATACACAAGTGGTTCAAGAGCTTTCTTCTTGTAAACAATATTCCAGAGAAGACATTCTATTCTGGTTGACAGTCACCCTAGTTCTGGGTCTTAATCCGTGATTGATTCTCCATTGTACAGAATATTGTTCTGGGCTACACGTAGAATTAAAGAATAACATTTTTAAATAGCTCTTCATTGAATGCCTGTTAAGTGCTTTCATTCAAATCCTTACGACCACTCTACAGAGTGTTACAATTGCCCATTTTATAGGTGAGAATGGCAAAGCTCAGAGAATTGAACATCTTACTCAAAGTCAAACAGCTCACTAATAAATGAATAATTAAATGTCATTTCATTGCTCCTAGTTTATAATGGAATATAACTGGAACCCAGTTTCTAAGGGGAATGGTAAAGACAGGTGAGTGAAGTATTCTCCAAAGATATTCTTTCAAAGTTGAGAATTAAAGTATAAAGAAGTACTGGTTGGGATAAGTGTGGGAACAGAACCTTTCATTGTCAAGGAATAGACTGTGTTAGGGCTCTGAGGCACAATGGGATTTGGAGTGTTTGAGAATCTAAGAAAGAATCCATAGGGCTGATGTTTAATGAGCTTTGGGAAAATATAAAGAGACAGACAATCTAGAAATTTATAGAATAAGAAAAAAATCCTGAACTGTATCCCAAATGCAATGGGCAATTACTGAATTTTTAATTGCTGTCATTTTATTGTTGTTTTAAATGAGAATGATCCAGTTATATTGTTGATAGAGAGGATTGTGGGTGGATGAGCACTGGACTGATACAAAGGGAGTGTTGCACTTACCCAGGAGACAGGGGCTGCAGCTCGGGCTTGGGAGTGGCAGACAAGAAGGGTACAGGTCCTATGTGTGCTTGGGAAGTGGAATCAGCATTGTTGGCAAGGTTGGTTGCAATAGGTGAGAGAGAGAAAGATGTCAAGGACTGTTCTCATAGGACCGCTCCAGGCAGTTGAGTAGCAATTGTAAGTAAATGGGTACTTCTTTATTGACTTGGAGAAGCCGGAGCAGGACCAGGTATTTGAGTGTGTGAGACAAGGTTCCCAAACCTGAAGCTTGGGGAATACCTGTGGGTACCAGGGTGCTCTTCTTTCTTGTGCCACAGGTATCTTCCCAGGTCAGGAAGCCCGTGTCCTCTGATGTACAATTAGTTAAAAATATAAAGTACTCACGTCCAAGGTGCTTGGGCTCTGGATTTCAAACTTCTCTTTCTCTGAGCCATTTCAACCTTTTTTTTTTTTTTTTTTTTTTTTGTCTAAAATGAGGAGTCTTCCATGTGCCAGTTTCCCTCTGAAAGCCCATGATCACTAACTATGGCCACTCCAGGGGCAATTTTTCAAAACTTTATCTGAAGGATATTGATCCTGTGTCAGTTAGAGTTTTGTCCTGAGACACAGATGAAGTAGGAAGTGGGGCAGTGATAGTGACATACACAGGCAGTCCGGTCACCCAAGAGTTCATTGCAGAGGTCAGCAAGGTCCCCTCATGTTGCCACTCAGAATCTTCCATCAGTGATTTGTCGCCACTCACAGCACCCAAGGGTTTTCACTTGCTCTCCTTTCCTACCTAAAATATCTATACTGGGATTTACTCCCTTCTTTCCTTTTCTCTTTCTGGAGACAAAGTAGAATTCCATGGCACAAGACAGGCTTGGAAGTTGAGCTGCCCAAGTTTGAATCCTAGTTATGCCTCTTATTTGTTATGAGCCTATGATTTCCCTTGTAGGTCACCAGTTTCACATCTTGTAAAATAGTCATAACATTTGTACTTAGTTCTGAGAATTACAGTGAGTTATGAAGACAATACCTAGACTTCAGTAAATATTGAATGTTGTTTTCCCTCTCCCTCCCTCCAATCTCCTTTTTACTTCTACTGTTCATTACCCACCATCTTTTAGAAGGAAACTAAGGAATCATATATTTCAGGAAAGTATCCCCTCACCTTTTCCCTTCCCACAGATAATCCTGTCTATAATTTTAAAATATTTGTTTATTTATTTATTTGGCAGAGTGACAGGAAAAAAGGGAGAAAGAAGGAGAGAGGGATGGGAGAGGGAAGAAGGGAAGGGAAGAGAGACAGAAATGAGAAAGAGAGAGAAAATATAATTGACAAAATATCTTGGCATCTGCTAGATCTCTCAAATGCTCATATCAGTCAGGGCTGGGACACGTCAAAGCCAGCAGCCCAGAACTCCATCCAGGTCTCCCACATGGGTGGCAGGACCATCTGCTGCCACCCTGGTGCATTGCAAGAAGTTGGGTCAGAAGGAAAGTAGTTAGGACTCTAACCAGTCACTCTGATACGGGATGTGGGAGTCCCACATGGCATTAACCCAGCCCCCATAATGTTTTACTGATTTATTTGAAAGAGAGACAGAGAAAGACAGAAAGAGAGGGAGAGAAGGAGAGGGATAGGGAGAAGGTGTGTGTGAGAGAGAGAGAGAATATTTTGTATCTACTGGTTTACTTTCCAAATGACTATAACAACCAGGTCCTGGTCAAGCTGAAGGTGGTATCCAGGAACTCCCTTCTGGTCTCCCACATAAATGGCAGAAGTCCAAGTACTTGGACATCATTTGCTGCCTGCACGGGTACATTAGCAGGAAGCTGGATAAAAAGCAGAGGAATAGGGTCTAGGACCAGCACTCGAATATGGGATGCTGGGATAACAAATGGGTGCTTAACCCTTTGTGCTGTAGTGCTGGCCTCTTGCCCCTATAACTTGGCCTTACTCTGGTATATTATCTCCATTGCTCTAGGTCTCTAGATCTCATCTTACTGCTCTGCAAGAGACATATAGAGCTAAAATTATTAATATTTCTTTGCTGTACCTAAGGCAAATGGCCCTGTTGCAGGCATTGATTACTATAATTGCCAAAGAGGTTGCTGGAAGAAGGAGTTCTGCAAGAATGAAGGTAGAAAAAGAAAAGGGGGAATCATATATGTCATGTAAGCTTCTCAAAAAACTTATATAGAATATAAAGAAAAAAATACAGTAAAACCAGAATCCAGTAATTTTCCCAGATTGCATTATTAGTTCTCTACTATGTGACATGCAGTCATCGTTTAGTCATTAGTACAAGCAATCGTTGATTGACTAAGAAGTATTTACCAAAAGAAGCAAAATTTACCACGTGTATTTACAGTCTAAAATGCTCTGCTCACTTAGCTTTGCTTGCATCAACAGAAGGGGAAAAATGCAGCCAGACAGTCTAATTTCTTTAAGTCAGATGAGTCACAGAAGCAAACATTGAAAGATGTGCTACAAAATAACCAATCATCAGATAAAACTCTTTGATGGGGCAGATGTATAAAATGAAGTGAGACTATTTTTTAAGCTAAACGTTTGCATATTTACAGAAGACTGTGGTAGAAAAAGTAGAGACATTTAGCCACATCATCACTTAAAGGTAAGTATGATTTTAAAACATAAAGGCAAGTGAAAACAGCAGTCCTCAGTCTTCTCTATCCATTGATTCCCGAACTCATTCCTCATCCTCATGCCCAATACCTAGTAATTGTTTTTTTCCATGGAAAGCATCTTTGATTTTATCTTTGATTAACCATGAGGCTTTAAAATATGCATTTCTTTTGTTTTTTCAGTGTCTGTCTTCAATATTGTGTTGTAAATAAAAAACATCAGCCCATGCGCTTGCCAGTGAATATAAGGTGGTGTCCTCTTGCATTTCATTGGTAGGTGTCATTATACCCATTTTGCTGATGCAGAAAATGCAATGCTATGTGAGAAGCCATATGTTCCGGGTCACACAGTTTAGCCTTTATGGAGCTTACAGCTCTGTGGGTATCTTTCCTCAACCCAGTATGTTTTGATATTTCTCAAATGCTAACTGACAAGCATCCAGTCTGATTAGATGATAACTTCCTGTAAATCAGACATTTAGCATCTTACAATGTATTTATTTCCTGAAACTAATTTCATGGAAATCCATCAAACTCCACCTGTCTTCAAATGTCTATGTGCTGTGACATCACCATCTTTGCACACACATTGTTCCCTTTGATTAAAATAAGCTTTCCCCTTTAAGATCCAGAAATTTTTTCCAAAAATTTCGTGTTCATGTATCTGATTCTTTAGGAATATTTTTCCAGTATTTCTTGTCTCTCTCTTCCCATCACCAGTATGGACCAGTATCCTTCCTTTGGGCTCTGTGCACCCTGTGCCTAATTCTGATACAATATTTGACCCATGATTCTCAACATTTTCTTCTCCCACAGTTCTTATTTATTTCAGGGACATATTTTATACATCTGTATATCCCTAGTATCTATTATGGATTTCAGCAAATAGACTATATCAATGAACATGAAGACAAATAAGAAATCACTAGAATTCCATTATTGCTTATGAAGTCCATCACCGTTCTAAGCGGTGATATGTAGAATCAAGTAATTCTCATAACATACATGCAAGATGGACACTAACGATAAGGATCTTTTCTTACCAGAGAAACAGAGAGAAAAGAACATGTAGACAAATACATATACAGAAATCATAGAAATGGGGATTTTGCTAATCATTTATTTGATGATTTTCAACTGGAAGAAATTTACGATGTATCTAACTGCATTAACACATACGTGATGTGAATCCTAGGTGGCTCTCTGTATTCTGTCATAGTCTGTGTTAGAGTCCTCAGCCTTGATGTCGCATCTACATTCAGGACACTGAAGAAGTTCTCAGAATGTGAGTCACATGGAAAATGATTGGAGGATGTAGACTTTGGAAAGAGGATGCTCTGGGGACACATGATCACTGTTCAAATAGCTAAAGGGCTGTCATGAAGGAGAGTGATTAGATTCATTTTGCTTGGCCCCAGGGGGTACAAAACTGGGATTAATGGCTGGAAACTTGAGGAGAGAGAACGCTGCTCAGACTGAGGCAGGTTTTCTATCAAGAAAGGTCTCTGTTGCTGGGTTGCCTGCCTTGGGGAATAGGGAACCTTGGTTCACCTACAGCAGGGGAACTCAGACTGTGTCTACTTGATAGGCATTGTTGTCTTTCACAGAGGGGATCCTGCCTTTGGTAGGAGAGGAATTTACAGGGCCACCATGATCTCTACTAAGTATAAACTTCAAAGAAAATGGTAACAAACTAGGATACTATATGCCATGAACAAACGTGTCTTTCTATTAATCTTAATTGAAACATTAACAGCAATAATGTTAAAATTAATTTTAATGACACCCCTTCCCATAGTGTTAGTAGTAGTGGTTTTCAGGACAGGGCCTGGGTACCAGGTCCATAATCTCTCCACAAGACATTCTGCACACCCTGTGTCATTGAAATGGCCCAGCAGTCCTGAATGGCTGATGTTATCAATCCCACTTTGCAGTTGTACGGGACTGAGGCTTTGGGGGAGGTGAAGGCATCTGCTTGTGGGTAGCTAGACAGTAACATTCAAACTCATGTAGATCTGACCCCAAACCAGTTCTTTTTCTGTTTTACAGAAGGGCAGTAGGGGAAGGGATGAGAAGACAGTAGCATATAATATCTAGTCCTAGGGTTAAGCCAGATTTATTTTGGGAAAAGATGATATTCTTCTTGAAACTTTATAAAGTTTCTTGATTCTTTCTGAGATGAATCCATTTCATCCTGAGGCCACAGCATGCTTCTTAGGAAGAGACACTTCACAGTTGCTTGAGATGGCTGGCGCCGTAGCTCACTAGGCTAATCCTCTGCCTGTGGTGCGGGCAGCCTGGGTTCTAGTCCCAGTTGGGGCGCCGGTTCTGTCCAGGTTGCTCCTCTTCCAGTCCAGCTCTCTGCTGTGGCCCGGAAAGGCAGTGGAGGATGGCCCACGTGCTTAGGCCCTACACCCGCATGGGAGACCAGGGGGAGACACCTGGCTCCTGGCTTCGGATTGGCGCGCAGCCAGCCGTGGCGGCCACTTGGGGAGGGTGAACCAGCGGAAGGAAGACCTTTCTCTCTGTCTCTCTCTCTCTCACCGTCTAACTCTGCCTATCAAAAAAAAAAAAAAAAAAAAGTTGCCTAAGAACAGACCAACTGGTGCATATGGTGCACAAATATCTTCTCACAAAGAGAAATTGAGAGGATCTCAGGTAGTGTACGATGTAGAACTTTAAAATGAACTGGAGGATCAACAAACGGTGGGCAGATTTGGAAACGCCATCAGCATATCAGAAATAACAAAACTAAACATATGTATGAAAGCAAATGATTGTAAGCTCTGATATAGTCTCTTCCCCAAGAGATTTAAGAATCTGAGATGGGTGCGCTAATGTACAGAAAATAAATCACATGACAGAATTCGCCAACCAGTTTTCAGAACCCACCCCCCACTGTGAAGCCTTTATTCATTTTTCTAATTCCCGAATTTCTCTATCAATCTCCTTTAGAACTTCTCCTCTGCACTGCAAAATTAGGTTCTGAATCCTGCTCCGTCTTTTATTACTGGATTTTTTTCTTTTCAATGCCTTCTTTCCTTTCCCAAAAATCCCAGGGTGGGCTGCAGTTTGGAGAGAAATGCCAGCTGGAGGTCTTCAGGACCTTCACTTTGAGACGCATGGTGAATTCCAATGTGTGGTCTTTATGGTTTTGCAACCCCAAGAATGGTGATTGATTTGACCATTGATTCTATTTTCCTAACACTTGAGTTGTCTTAGTGTAAAGTGGAGGTGATTTGGAGAAAACAGAAGCTTATTGTCCCAACCACTTGCAAAGCAATGAAGACAGTCACTCACTGGAATTCCACCTAAGGGGATTCCTGCATGTACTTTGAAGAGAGAAATAATATGCAGAGTGAATAAAGAACATCAATAAAACCACCAATAGAGAAAGATGCTCCCTGAATGGTTTGAGGATGAAAATTTGGGACTGAGCAACCAGGTACAGCTAAACTGTGCGGGGCTGTTACATCACACACCTCGAGGAGGCCTCCGTGGCATCAAAGCGGAGGCGTGAACTTTGAGCAGTGGAATATCTGATGGAGAAAATCTGATTCATAAAGATATGATGTAAGGTCCCTTTTCTATTTATTTTTATTCCTATCATACCTTCAGTAACTTTTACCAAACTTGATCTTGCTTTTGTGAGACTGGATTGCTATTAAAATGGTACTGGGTTAGTAATGTGAGTTTGCACAGGTGAGACAGTATCTCTTGACGCTAAAACTAAACATGGAGAGGACAATTGGGTTGCATGTAGTTATGAGATGATGATGTCTAACTTTTGGGACTGTTAGAAGAATTAAACAAAACAAATTATAAATATGTGAAAGTAGTCGATGCTCAACACATGTTTATTAACTTGTAATGGGAAAGCAAATGTTATCAACTACTCATGAGAAACATGATGAAGTTGGTAACAATGAGAACTCAGAATGGGTGTTGTGTGGGGGGGGGGTGACTATTGGGATTTCATGTGGAGACCTGTAACAATGAGAGCATCTCACGAATGAAGAGGGGACTTGGTGATGATACAGATGGCTTCAACTTGATAGTCTGTGCACCACCTCTGCAACAGGACCTGCCTAGTCGTAGGGAAAGAGGTCCCTATTTCTGTCTCTCTTTTCCCCCACACCTTCTTGGGACATATTATAAATCTGTGTCTTCTTGCCTGCTCCTTTCTTTGGATACCCACAGCCCTCTTCAAATATGTTAATACATGAAATTTTGCTCCAGCCAAATCTTTTGATTGCCAAGAAGTCATTTATCTCTCTTATATGATTTTTTATACTGGTCCCTTATTTTATTCTATTTTTTTTTAATCCCAGAGTTTATTGTTGCTGCTCTGAGTACTGGAGACAAGAGAACAGCAACTTACTATGTGGGTGTGGGAGTTGGAGTCCCTGGCTTGCTAAATGCCGGTTTTGCTTCTGTGCTGTGGGTGGCTTGCTTGCCTGCTGTAACGCCATGACAGGCTTCATCCTGGACCAGGATGGAGGCAGGCCGGCTTCTTGGAAACAAAGAACACAAAACATTTCCTGGAATTTATGGCCCATTGTTTCCCACCATTTCCTTTGTGTAACGTTCCTGCCATTTCTTTTTGTGTGACGTATAGCCCTGTTACATTTAAACAAACCAATAAAGATGCTAGGTTTAGATACTTGCCATATAGAGAATAAGGAAGTAACACACGTATGAGATGATGTGCATGCTTGTTTATATGAGGCTATAAAAACTTCTCCTGTATGTAGGAGGGGGCCTTTTGCGTGTGCACTGCCGGAAGGCTGTGTGTGGGTAGGGGGTCCCAGCCGGCTGGTAATAAATAACCTTCTGCTTTTGCATCGTGACTGTGCTTTGTGTTTTGTTTGGGAAATCGGACACTACAACTAAAACTCTCATAAGTATAAGTTTCTTGGGAGAGGGGCTGGCGCTGTGGTTTGGTGGGTTAAGCCACCACCTGCAGTGCTGGCATCCCAAATGGGCACCAGTTCGAGGCCCAGCTGCTCCACTTCTGATCCAGCTCCCTGCTATGGCCTGGGAAGGTAGTGGAAGATGGCCCAGGTCCTGGAGCCCCTGTACCTATGTGGGAGACCGGGAAGAAGCTCCTGGCTTCAGATTGACTCAGCTTCAACCATTGCAGTCAATTGGGGAGTGAACCAGCAAATGGAAGACCTCTCTCTCCCTCCCTCCCTTCCTCCCTCCCTTCCTCTCTCTCTCTGCTGCTCCTTCTCTGTATAACTCTGACTTTCAAATAAATAAATAAAACTTTTTTTAAAAAAAATGTTTCTTAGGTGAGAAATCTTGCTTTTGTCTTTGCATCCCCAGAAATTCTAGGACAGAACAAGGCACAGACTAGAAGTTCGGCAAACAAGCAAGTTTTTCCCAAGGTCCTTTTGATGTAAGAGACTCTATCACATTTCACACACTTCTAGCAACAAAAGATCTGCTTTATTCTTAGAGTCTATTATTGTTAAGTACATTTTCTTGGGTTCCAGTAAATTAAAATTTGCAGCAACTTAACCTGTCTCTCTCTAAACACATTTGTAATATTTGCCATTCTTTCCTTTGTTGTTCTCTGTGTGACATGTATCATTATACCGTGTTGCATTTCTTACAGAGAAAACTTACTGAAAGTGTATTTTGAAAAACACAACATCCTTTATTGTTATGGTCTATAGCAATTAAAGCTTGAAATTAGAATTAAGGATTGTGCATTTTGATGCAGGCAACCATATAGAAATATTAACATTTTTGTAAGATTTTTCTTTGCAGGCACAAAGTTGTTATTAGAAAATATAATACTCATTTTTTGCTTGATTAATTACAGCAAAGGCATAACAAAATATGTATTGTCCATTAGTGCATGCACTATTTGTAAAATTATGAGTCATGGATAAGCTGAGGCATGAATCCAAAACATTCTGTCAGAAATTCACAGAGTAAATATGAAACTTGTTTTTTGAAACCAAGAGAACTTACTTAAAACATGAACAAATGCCTTGAGAAAAATCCACAATTAAAATAGTCTGAGTTCTCCCAGCTTAACAAGTATGCACTGGATTTATATATGTATAACCTAAGAAGACACCCTGATAATTGTATGTAATACACAATGCTTAGCATATAACAAACAATAATAGTTACTCTTTTCTGAGGATACCTGCTTTAATCATCATGACAGCCTTGCAAACTGGGTAGTTTATTACTATTGATTATTTTTGTTATTGAGGTAAAACAATCAGTGAGATACAAATGTCTTAGCTGTATAACTTCATATTTTTGATAAGCATGTGCATTTGTATACTCAGCACCTCAGTTAAGATAGATAACATTTCCATCACTTCAAAGTAGGTGCTATTTTCGGAAATGAACCAGCAGATGGGAGCTCACTCTTTATCTCTCTCGCCTTGTTTGTCACTCTGCTTCCCAAATCATATACACATACCTGTATAAAATACGTTCATTGTTCATTTGCATATATGAAAAACAAGGCCCAGAAGAATTAAATAATTTGCTGAAATGCATAGCAACTCTAAATAGCAAACTGATGGCCCAACCCACATTACTTGTCATACTATATTAGGACACCTAAGGCTGTGGACTTCCTTTTGTTAAAAAGATTCTTTTAGAACATCTATCTAGCTCTTTACATTTCACAAGGGTTTTCTACATTTTTGATTAACATATGATAATTGTACATATTTATGGGATATAGTACAACAGTTGAAGACATTTATATAGCATGTACTAATCAAACCACAGTATTTAGCATTTCCATCTCCTTATCATTTTTACACTTAAAAAGAAAAGAGTTTGGAGAGGAAGCAGATTGGAAGTCTGAGTGGAACTAGCTGACACCTAACAGTGTTTTTCAAAACTGCTAATCATTTGAATATTTTAGTTTTGTGAGATTATTCAAAGAGATCTGTGTCCCATCCTTAGGAATTCAATTCAGTAGACTGGAGTATGGATCTACAATCTGATTTTTTTATTGTTTTGCTCTCCGGTGAGCGTTACGGTCACCATGAATTTTCAGGATAGGTTATATAATTCCATGTCACAAATTAACCAAACCATGAAATATAAAGGACTTAACACATTCAAGTTTATTCTTACAAATCTGCCAAATGGGTTACCTTGAAGGGAAGATTTTCTATTTATAATCACCATCCAAGATGCTCTATCTGACACTGATGCTGAAATGTCCTTGGAGCAGGTGAAGAGAAGAGTTGAAGCATGGGCACTGACTCTTAGATCTTTGTCAAATCCATTGCTCAGCATGCATCCCATGGCCCTGCCTGAGAAACGTGGAGGAGGGACATCGATACTTGGAGAACAGTGAGTATTTTTGCCACAGTTTTGTTTTCAGAATTGTTGATCTCTAAGCCTCTTTCCTCCTCTGGAAGTGTGTGGATCCTACTCATCCTAGATAGTTTTAATCTGCTTCTGTAGGAAGTACTTCCACTGTGACGCTTCTGTCTTGCCACAGAGTGTTTTTCCTTGTTTTCTCTTTGACTAGTGTGATGTAATGCTGGCATGAAAAGTGTGAAACGATCATGTTGCCGCTGACCATCCTGCTGCCACTTTTCTCAGTTGTTCTTCCATTCCTTTGATTTAGCATAATGTAAGTTGGTCTTAGCCAGAATGCTATGATTCCCACCTGAACTTGCTGCCAGCTGGATCCCAACATAGTGCCTGCTGGTATGTTAGAAGGCAAGTGCTTTAAGGTTCTAGACTCCAATGGTTACGAACTGACTCTACAATCATATTGCCCAGCTTCAGCTCTAAGTGCCATTGCTTACGACGTGATGAGTTTAGTAAGTGACTTCACCTCTCTGAACTGACTTTCCTCTTGAATAAAATGGGGCAATTATAATATATACCTCCTGGAGCTGTTATAAGTATTAAAAGTGATAATCCACATAAGTGCTTAGCCTGGGGTCTGGCATATAAAGACCCACCAACAAACTTTGCCTACTTTTTATAATGGGATATCATTAAGATGGCTGACCTGTCAATATCTAATAAAAAGAAATTCCTCTACTGCCTCATCCAGAGAAATACATTTTACCATCATATGCTGAGGGGGACGCTTTTTTTCATGCCTCCAAGTTTATCAATTTTAATTCACTTCCCCACCTTCTAGTAGAGCCAACTTTGACCTTTCAACTTTGATGATTTTAGGAAAGCTAAAATGAAATTAACAAAATGGTATTTTTCTATCAATGACAGTATAGCCACTGTGGTAGGGTGATGAACAATAACTCACATCTCTCCTGCTCTATCTTACATGAAGCTGTGTGTTATCTAGCAATTGGAGGATGTTAAATCATGCAACATAAACTTTCTTCTCCCAGAGTGGCAAGTGAGCTATTTTCAACTTTCTGTTGTGACACTGTTTTCTGGGTTGTGTCAGCACTCTTATTATCAATTTACCTCTTTGCAAGCTGTGTTCCTCTTCTCCCAGAGTGTTCATTGAGATCTCCTTCTCGCCATTGTCTAGGTATTTCCCTAAATGAGCTGTATGGAATGCTAATCTGATGTACTTATAGGAGGTGGATTGCCCCTGACAAAAGAGCCCCTTGTCAGATATGAAAATACTGCAGGTTCCATTTAACTCTGACATTCACAATACAGATTTGTGTATCGGTATACTGAACGAATCCAGCATATACTCCTAGACTTTCTATAGCAGTGTCTGGTTAGCTCTGTCCCACTGATCACCTATAAAACTTACTTAGATATAAATAAATAGTTTATTTTCAGAAAAAGGGATATTCCAAACAAAGAATGGCGAATTTAAGCAGGAAATTTTCCTGCTTTTAGATTTAGAAAGACAATAGCAAAGGAGCTATTTCTAGATCTGATCTGGTTTTAAAAAGCCAATGGGACCATAAGCACCCAACTCTAATCTGTTTGACATGGCTGGGACTGGGGCGGGGAGAGTGAGGTACTAGTTGCAGGTGTCATGCCTCTTAAAGAGATAACAAAACAACCCTCAAATAGTATTTAAATGAAATATTTTTTAAAAATAGATACAATAAAATATTTTAAAGTAAAAAATGCAAAATTATATGATGAACAAAGTGGCAGATTTTAAAGATTCATTCATTTGAAAAGCAGAGTGACAGAGAGAAGGAAAGACAAAGAGAGAGAAAGAGATCTTCTGTCCCTCTGTTCACTCCTTCAAAAGGCCAGTCCAAAGACAGGAGCCAAGAAACCCATCTTGGTCTCCCATGTGGGGACAGGTACCAAAGTACTTGGGCCATCTTCAGCTCCTTCCCAGGTACATTGACAGGAAGCTAGATGGGAAGAGGAGTAGCTGGGACTGGAATTGGCACTCCAATACAGGATGCTGGTGTCACAAGTGGTGGCTTACCCTGCTGCAACACAGCAATAACTCGGAAGTGCCAAATTTCAAATAAGGCAGGATCAATTTCTCTATTTTCTTCTTTTGAACCCACCTGTAATTTGGCTCTTTTTAAAATTCTTTTAAAAATTGCTTATTAATGCAAAGAGAACATATTTCATGTATTTCATAGGTACAATTATTAGAAGATAACCATACTTCCCTTCCTCCTTCTTTCCTTCCCTCAAATACTGCTATTGTTTATTTCTTTATTTAAAATTTTCATTTTTCATCATTAATTTTTGCTGAATTAGTTTCTGATATCTTAAGCAGTGTATTGAAATATCATTTCTCTTGGTTTCAGAAGCTCCTGAAGCCCTTTAAATGCCATTGTCATCTACATACCCATACCATCACTCCAGTTTCAGTTCTGCTGCTTGATTCCTGCCCAATTACAGCTGAGGACTGAAGATGAAACTCTTTCAGTTTTGGACAGAGTTTCCATACAAACTCAAGAAAAATGGCACTCCTATATTAATAGCTCCACAGCACATCATAGCTCACCATGCATGAAAACAGCCCCAGTGTGCATCTATGGATGGACAGAAAAATAAAATGAAGGTATACACATATGAGAGAATTGTATCTAACCAAAAAATAATTAAATTCTGAAATATGCTGCAAAATGGATGACCCTTGAGACATCATGCTAAATGAAGCCAATCACAGAATGAAAAATATTGCACAATTTCACTTATCTGAGGCATCAAGCATGGTCAAACCCATAGAAACAGAAGATAACATGGTAGTCACCAGGGCACTGGGGGAGAGGCAAACAGGTGGCTGTTATTTAAGGAGTACACAGTTTCATTCTTGCAAGATGAAAAATGTCTGGAGATTGGTTTCAAAGTGTTATGAACACCCTAATAGACTCTAATGTTTACGCTTCAAAATGGTTAATGTTGTGTATATCTTATCACAATTTTTAAGTTACAACATTTAAAAAGAAATGAGAAGAAATGGAAAAGGCCAAGGATATCATCAAAGGCATATAACCCAAAGTAGAGTCAGAGAATGGAGGAGAATCAGAGAGCCAGGAAAGGGGAGTGAGGAAACAGGTGGGGTCAGCAGCCTCCATGAATTCCTGCCTCAAGACCTCTACTTGTTGTTGGAATCGGCAGCATTGAAAATGGGGTTGAGGTATAGTCTTTCAACTTCTGATGCCTTTTCTGGCTCTTCTTCTTCTCCTTCGGCTACTTTCTAGGGAAAAAAAAGTCTTTAAATTTAAGATATATTTTGATTAGAGATCCCATCTGTTAATGCACACCTTCACAGTGCTGATGGACTGGCCAAGACGTGCAGCACATTTTGGATGCTTTTATAGAAAAGCAGAGACTTATTTTTCTAATAACTCTTTCATCTGCAGCATCTAGTTTTTCCATTAGGAAAACTAAAATAGCTTGTGGAATTGCTTTTTTCCTTCTACAATAACAGACACTGCAGTGAACTAGTCACTTTGGGACATATGTAGAATATGATGTAGACACAATGAGAAAATTTTCTCTCTACTCCACGCCCTTTTGTCAGAAGGACATTTTGTGACTTCTCCTTTATGTTTCTGGGTCACAGAACATCTTCCCTTGTGTGAGTGGAAGAGATAATTCATAACAACATATGTGGAGATAATGGACTGTGATCTCTTTGAGGGCAGATAGTATCTATAAATAATTTTAATAACTCACAAAGAGCCTTGGCCATAATTAGGTTCTAAGTAAGCATTTTTCTTTATGTATGTTTTCTTTCACTGGGAAAGACTAGATAATTCTTTTTTGTTAGAGGTGGTGGGGGGTAGACAGTGAATATCAGTCAGGGTTGGCTAGATTAAGCTTTGATAATAAAGATCCCCCAAACTCTATTGACTTAGAAAATGGGACTGCATTGCTCTCTCATATAATATGTCCATTGCAGGTCAGCGATAGCTCTGCCCTCTGTCACCCTTACTTTGGGATACATGCTAGAAAAATAACCTTCCTCTGGTTGTCGTAATCAAGAGAACAAAAGAGCATGAGGAGCTAAACTTCTGTTGCTCAAAAGCAACACATTTGTGTGGTGACATTTCATTGGCCAAAGTGATTCACATGGTGCCTCAAGTTCAATGGGGGTCGTTATGTATAATCTTTCTGAAGAGATGGTTCTTGTAACATCAGCAATAGCAATAACAAATGGAACTGGCTACTGAATAGGTAACTGAAGAAGTGGAAAGAGAGCTACTATCACTACAAGTTTCCAGGAACTGTATACATGTGTGCTGTTCTCATTGTCTCCACCACACCATTATGAGACATGTGTTGTTCTGTTTTCCTTATAGGCGAAGAATCTCAGTTTAGGCTGAATCAGTGATGTACCTGAAGTCACTGTATTACTATGTGTTAGAGTTGGTGTTGTACTCCGTGTTCCACTGACTCCAAACCCATGCTCTTCCCAAGAAACCAAGTAATTCCCATGCTCACATGTAGTCACAGTAAGTTCTGAAACATCTGTTAAACCATTTCTTCAGTGATGCAATTCAATGAGGACATACATGTTAGTTGGCTAGGCAGGTAGAAAGCATAGTCATATAAAGATGGGAGAGGAGTAGGTGTTGGGCACTGCACTTTAGATCCCGAGATATTGCTTCTCACACTTGAGTGCCTGTGTTCAAGATTCGGCTATGCTCCCAGTTCCAGCTTCTCACTAAGGTGCACTTGAGTGACAACAGGTGATGGCTCAAGTAGTTGGATTCTTTCCACCTAGGTGGGAGATCTGGATTGAGTTCCTGGCTTCTGGCTTTGGAATGGCCCAACCATATTTGTTGTGAGCATTTGGTCAGTGAACCATCAGATGGGAAATCTCTGTTTCTCTTTCCCTTTCTTCCCATCTCTTGCACTTCAAATTAAAAGAAAGTCTCAATAGGCCGGCGCCACGGCTCAATAGGCTAATCCTCTGCCTACGGCACCGGCACACTGGGTTCTAGTCCTGGTGGGGCACCGAATTCTGTCCAGGTTGCCCCTCTTCCAGTCCAGCTGTCTGCTGTGGCCAGGGAGTGCAGTAGAGGATGGCCCAAGTGCTTGGGTCCTGCACCCACATGGGAGACCAAGAGAAGCACCTGGCTCCTGCCTTCGGATCAGTGAGATGTGCCGACTGCAGCGCGGCAGCCATTGGAGGGTGAACCAACGGAAAAGGAAGATCTTTCTCTCTGTCTCTGTCTCTCACTGTCCACTTTGCCTGTCAAAAAAAAAAAAAAAAAAGTCTCAAAAGATGGGTAGAAATGCTTATGTTTTTGGTATCAGGTTAATACTGGAAAAGCAAGGTTACTTACTCCAGGTCATGCATTTCCATATAAAAAAAGCTCACGAGTCTCAATGGCCATCAAATTTTAGGTGATCAAACTCTTTGAAGAAAAAAATCACTATATCTGAAGCATTAGAAATGAAACTAAAACATTCATTTCTAGAAGTGGCTGTAGAAAAGTGGAAATTAATAATAAATTCATCAGTTGTACAAGCCGAGTATATGAAGGCAAGGCATTCATATCAAAGTCAATGGCTGGTCAAGGAAACCAAGTTGGCGTACAGGTAGATTTAACCATTTGGGAAAGCTACACCAACATCTTTAAAATCTCAGAGAATTCACACCCTCCCATGTGCCACCATTCTGTTTCTACCCTAAGGACATATATATATATATATATATATATAATATATATATATATACATGTATTTGTACAAATGCTCATCACACTGTTAGTGAGAAGAATGAATTAAAAGTGAAAAAAAGTCTATTTGATAATGGGTAAATAAGTGGGTAAAGTCTGACTTACTGTTTGAAGGTGAACCATCCCATTGTTCAGACTCATTTAGGCAATGTTCAAAATAATGTGTGAAGGTGGTTTGTAGCTTTCATATTAAGTGAAACAATTAGGGTATAAAGTAGAATCTACTTTAAGATCTCCACTCTATAAGGCAAATGTACAGAAAAAGCAGAAAGATGCACATACACGCAGAAAAATAGGAAGAGAATATGCATAAATATTAAATATACTCCAACGTGGTTTAGTATGTATGTATATAGTCTGTGTGCCCATAAACAGTTATTACATTCATTTATTTACCCAGAAGGTATTTATAGAGAGATTACAACAGTGTAGACATAGTTCCAGACACAGCAGTGAATAAAATCAACCAAACATTGGGTTAAGCCACTTCCTGCAGTGCCAGCATCCTATGTGGGCACCAGTTGAAGGGCCAGTTGCTCTGCTTCTTATCCAGCTCCCTGCTGATGCACCTGGGAAAAGCAGTGGAGGATGGTCTAAATCCCTGCACCTATGTGGGTGACCTGAAGGAAGCTCCTGGCTTCTGGTGTCGGCCTGGCCCAGCCCTAGCCATTGTGGCCATTTGAGGAGTGAACCAGCAGATGGAAGATTACTCTGTCTCTCCCTTCTCTCTGTAACTCTGACTTTCAAATAAACAAATCTTCTTAAAAGAGGCCGGTACTGCGGCGAAGTAGGTAAAGCCACCACCTTCAGTGCCGGCATCCCATGTGGGTGCTGGTTTGAGTCCTGGCTGCTCCACTTCCGATCCAGTCTCTGCTATGGCCTGGGAAAGCAGTGGAAGATGGCCTAAGTGCTTGAGCCCCATGAGTTTCCCATGAAGGAAGACCCAGAGGAGGCTCCTGGATCCTGGCTTCGGATTGGCACAGCTCCCGCCATTGCAGCCAGTCGGGGAGTGAACCAGTGCCTCTCCTTTTCTCTCTGTGTAACTCTGACTTTGAAATAAATAAATGAATCTTTAAAAAAAATTTTCTTAAAAAATTCAACCAGACTAGTGTCATGTGCTACTTATGTAATAATGGGAGGAGGGAATGTGAAAAAGAAACATGTTAGGGGATTAAAACTTCTTTGGTGAAAACTAAAAAGAAAAGAATGCTATTGATGAAGGGTTATTCTGTGTCTGTTAGTCATGGGAGATTTCTCTGAAAAGATGGTTTTGAGTGGAGGCCTGAAGAAAGTAGGGTAGCTTTTCAGGCAGGTGGATGGGAGCAAGCTTTCAGCAGAGAAGAGAAGATGCTAAGGCCCTGTGGTGCTTGGAGGCCTCAGGGCACGAAGGAAACAGGTATGACTTGAATTCTGAGGACACAGGAGGTAGTAAAAGGAGAGATCAGAGACGTGGTGGTTGGTGGTAAGGGCCAATCATGTGAGTCTGACTTTTTACTAAAAGAGATAAGAAGTCACAGAAGGATGCTGAGCTAAGGTGTAGCATGGTCACTCACACAAGAACCATACTGGCTGCTGTGAGAGAAAGTGCTTGGGAGCTGGATGGGCAAAGCAGAAACAGGGAGAATACTGGTCGCTTAGGACTAGGAGATGGCAGTGGCACAAATGAGGGACACACTGAGTTTAAATGTTCCTGAGAGGAACCTGACAGGGTTTGCTTACGAATTGGAGATGGCATATGAGGAGTCAGTGACAACACCCATGGTTGTGCCCTACAGAGCTGGTAAGATAAAGTCGCCACTTACTGAGGGAAGATCAAGAATGTAGAAGGAGCTGATTCAGGAGTAGGAGGGGCTGGAATCTGTTTGGAATGGATCGGTTTTGAGATTTTTCTTTTGTCAAATACGCAAATAAACATGCCAGTTCAACATTCAGAGTTTGAATGGGTTAATTTAGGGATGAAAGGGTACTTCAACAAGGAAAGAGGTCCAGGAGTCAATCCTAGGCAGTTCACTATGTAGAGCTGGGGAGGAAGAAAGTAAACCAGAAAAGCAAACTGGGAAGTGGTGACCAGTGAGGTAGAAAGAGAACTGGGTGCGTATTGTCCCAGCAGCCAAGATGTGATCTGAATGGTGAAGAACACTTATGTCAAACTGTTACTGATGTGCTGTGTGCTAAGAGGTCAGGTAAAAGACCACTGCACCTGACAGAAAAAAACAGACAGGGGTTTCAGTAGAGGGCCAGCCTCATAGGAATTGGTACAAGGGATAGTGGGAAGGGAAGAAATTAAGACAGTGAATGTGTATCTAGCAATTCTGTCGTCAAGCAAAATAGACATTGGGTCATCGTTTAAGGGAGGTATAAGGTAAATGAAGTAGTTCTGATAAGACAAGAGATATCACAGTGTACTTTCGTGGTTGTGGGAATGATAGAGGAAACAGGGAAAGCTGATATGTAAAAAAGAGAGAAGGTAAATGAGCTGTTCTTGGCTAGATAGAGGGCCCAGGGTGCAATAAGAGAAGTTGACTTTGAAGCAAAGAAAGTTCACGCATTGTAATTTTTGCACAGATACAGGAAATTTGCCATATATGATGATGGATGCAGATGGAACTTCTCTTCTGACATAGCTTCTATTTTCTCCGAGAATAGAAATCTTGTTCTCTTTCCAAGTTGCATAGTAATAAATCATAGAATCTTCTGGATCTTAGATCCCAAGGTATGTTCTTTCCATGGCACTACAATGGTCTTGCCTAACCTTCTTCAGGGCAAAAATATACAATTCCTCATTTAGTATTAATATTAAAAAGAGGTCATCTTCCATTTACCAACACATATTGTAAACATTTTTTTATTTTTTAAAACTTTGTTTACATTTTTATTTGAAAGGCCAAGTGACAGTGATATTTTTATTTTAAAGGCCAAGTGACAATGACAGAGAGAGAGAGAGAGATCTTCCATCTGCTGGTTCATTCCCTAAATGTTTACAAGAGCCAGGGTCAGGACAGATGGAATCCAGGATTCTGGAATTCATTCCTGGCCTCTCACATGGGTGGCAGGAACTCACAGACTTGGGCCACCATCTGCTGCCACCCAGGATGCATTATCAGGAAGTTGGATTAGAAGCAGATGTGAGGGCTGGCGCTGCGGCTCACTAGGCTAATCCTCTACCTGCGGCGCCGGCACACCGGGTTCTAGTCCTGGTTGGGGTGCCGGATTCTGTCCCGGTTGCCCCTCTTCCAGGCCAGCTCTCTGCTGTGGCCTGGGAAGGCAGTGGAGGATGGCCCAAGTGCTTGGGCCCTGCACCCCATGGGAGACCAGGAGAGGCACCTGGCTCCTGACTTTGGATCAGCATGGTGCACCGGCCACGGCGGCCATTGGAGAGTGAACCAACGGCAAAAGGAAGACCTTTCTCTCTGTCTCTCTCTCACTGTCCACTCTGCCTGTCAAAAAAAAAAAAAAAAAAAAAAAAAGAAGCAGATGTGAGACTTGATGCCAGGCCTTCCGATATGGGATGTTGGATGTGGGCATCTCAAGCTTATTCCACTGAGCCACA